TTCTGGGAGTTGAAGTCCACACATCTTAAAGTTCCCAAGATTGAGAAACACCGGCCTAGTGGTTAAGGTGCTAAATTAGGGACAGAGAAACCTGAGTTCTAAGCCTGCTTAGACATGGAAGCCAACTGAGTGACCTTGGGCCAGTCACTTCCACTCAGCTCCAGAAAGAAGGCAATGGCAAACCCCTTCTGAAAATGCTGCCTAGAAAATTGCATGGATTTGTCCATGCAGTCACCAAGTTGTTGTTGCTTTTTTTACTTTAAGGCAAAAAAAAAAAAAAAAAGCATAATAATGGAAACCAAGTTCCAATATTTCCACCCCAAACCATCTACAGCAGGAGTAATAGATGTTGTGGTTTTCTTAAGTAACTTCCGCATAGCAACATTTTCAACCCCCAATTTGTCTGCAGCATTTTGAGGTCATCCCTTTAATTTGTTTTCACTCCTACCAATGAACAGACAGAGAACACCATGAGCCCATCTGTGTTCCTTCCAACCAACATTCGGAAAGTGCAAACATGGTCATTTAATCCATGATCTGCATCTTTAGCTACTGCAGTTTCTGGAATGACAGAAATCCCTTCTCTCCCTTGTTCCCACAGAAAGCAGAAAAATGAGTTGTTACTCACTACATTGCCAGCTCCATTTTCAATACAAGCCATATACATTTCTTACCATTTTGCTATGTCTGTCTTTCTTTCTTTCCTTCCTTCCTTCCTTCCTCTCTCTTTCACTTTCTCCCTCTCTCTCTCCCCCTCTCCCCCTCTCTTTTTCTGCCTGCCTGCCCACCCTACCCCTGCATCCGTGCACACATCCACCCATCTACCTGTTGGTAAGGAGGAAAAACTGCCTGGCCATCAAGATGTTAATCTCTCAGCAGCTAAACTCCCAATGAGAGAGCATGATGCTCACTGCACATATATGCAGGAAAAATGAAGGGGGGGGGAGATTTTACAAGAATTGTTTAACCTGCTGGCAACTAAATAGAATGACTTGTGATAAGGGATGGTTATATAACCTGGGAAAAATAAAATCTGTTACAGGGCTGACTAGAAGGATTGAGAAGAGTTTGTCGATAAAGCTGCAAGCAGTGAATCCAGGTAGGAGATGTGAGCCAGGAGCTTCTGCTAATAGGAAAATGGACTCTGTTCACCACCCACTGAGCTCCAGGATCTCAGGCAGAAAAAACACAGTCAGCTTGCCTTTTATATGGAACAATATCATGGGGCTGACCTAACAGTAAGTGTTAAATACTAGTAAATCAGTCTTCTCCAATCTTATACTTTCTTAGATGCTTAGCCAGTATAGTCCAACATATCCTGAGGGCTCCAGGCTGGGGAGGGCAGCAGTAAACTTTCCAAAAGTATTGAAGACACAAATTGGTCACAACTTGTGGAGACTTCAATTCACACCACAGAATCCATTTCTGCAGGTCAGAAGTGAATTGAGCCTTTTTTTAATTAATCAGCAGCAGTGACCCCAAACTGCTTGGTGTTCATTGTATAACAGGAGAGCAAGTTTACAAGAAACTTGATAGGACCAGGTTGTTGGTTAATTAATAGAAGGGCACAGAGTATGTTGAGTCACTTCTTGTGAGTGGGCGGCCATATAAATGTGATTAAATAAATTAATTAGTTTTTTAAAAAAAGCTCCTGGGTTTTTCAAGGCTTCGATTGCCAATAAAAAGACTGCTCTTTCATTGCTATCAGGCACTATGAAGGCATTCCGTTCACATATACGCTTTGAAATCTCTGAATCTTCCTGAACCTGGACTGTTTTTCGCTGCTCTGTGTGTGTGTGTATGTGTAAAAGTGTAGCATTGGATTACTGTATTTTGCACATTTTCTTATTGCTTTAATAGGCATTATCTTTTAATTTTAACGCCTGCTTCACCATTGTCTAGTTAGTACTTTTCAAACTTGGCAACTATAAGATGTGTGGACTTCAACTTCCAGAATTCCCCAGTCAGTAATATATCAGCCACGATGAGTTCAAGGTTGATCTCAAACGTAGATTGTAGACTAAAGTAGTAATTAGCATTAGCTGTTACCAGTGTCTATGTATATACTTCCCATTAAAATCAAGTTATATCTAGCCTTCTAGTATTCAAGGACTATGAACACAGTTGTTCTTCTCAGCTCTAAAAACACACAGACCGCTGGTCCTTATTCTATCTCTTGTCATTGAATCTGGCCTGATGGGAAGTAAGAATAACTAAATGTTATAATCTTTATAGCAACAAAGCAGAAGAGAAATTTTGACTGATGCACTAGGCATACAGTAAATGCTGCCTTGATGTTGTTGTGTTACTATTATTATCTTGTTATAGCTGCCCACTCTAGTAGATTCTAATGCCACATAAATTATGTGACATCATCTACTATACACTCTTTCTTCAGAGATTGCAATGTCTCCTGTGGTGGTGGGGGGAATCAAGAGAGTATGAGAAAATGGCCCCCAATATGTTTGTCCCAGGCAGCAGAAAAGGAACTTAGAATATTGAAATAATGGCATTCTTGCCACATACAGGTCCCTCTTTCCCCATCCCTAAACCCACTGGGCCGATCAAGACTGAATTATCCCCATTACCCTTTGAAAGAAAAATTAATAAGGAAATAAAAGTTAGACTAGGCAATCACAGACTCTAAATATAGTGCAAGGCGGCTGGCCAAGGACAAATTACCCCAAATTAGGTCAATCTCTGACAAACTGCCCTGCCATTCAACATCTCACACGGTCCAGGACTCTGGAGATGAATTTCCTAGAACAGCGATCTTAGCTTGGGTTCCACAGGCTGTTTGAAAAACCCTGGTCTGTATTACCTTAAGCATCATGAAAAGTTACCGTCCGATTGTAATTCTTAACATGACAAAACGGCAGATAATTAGTATTTCTCCTGGACTTGCCTCACAGCAAATATCAGGTCTGCTGTACTCCGTTCTGGCCGAAAGCCACACTGAGCCTCTGGGAGAGTCCTTTCCGCGACAGGGAGTCAATTGTACAGATTTAATTTAGTTTTAATTGTATTTCAGTTTAAACCAGAAGGAGATTTTGAGCTGGTTCTGTCCCCCACCCTATTTTTTTGTCTTGGCCACCTCTACCTTTCAGGGGGTGAGCCCCTCCCCCTAAGCCCCTTCAAGGCCAATGTGTTCCTCAGCATGAAGAAAAGAAGTGCCACCATGCTATAGATGGGAATCTTTTGTTCGTGAGCTTCCTTAAATTGATCTTTGTTAGGCACCAAAGACCTTTCAAATTATTTATACAATATATGGTAGTCCTTCAGGGTCGAAGAACACGCTCTTGCACAGTTCATCTGTGGACACGGAGGTGGCTCTGCAGTCCCAGTCTGCAAGTGCAGAGTCTAGCACAATAGGGGCCGTGGAAGTCCACTGTTGTAGTAACTGTGGGTGTTATTCTGTGATCCGCTCAGAGTTTTCTATCAGTTTTTGGCAGCGCCTGTCTTCAAAGCCAGTGGAGGCTTCATAGCACAGGGCTCGCCAGCGGGTTCTGTTAGCAGCCACAGCTTCTAGTTCCCTTGGCTGGATGTCACAGTGGCATAGGGTTTCTTTCATGGTGTCTTTGTAGCACTTGCGTGGTCGACCTCGAAGTCTATTCCCAGACTCCAGTACACTATAGAGCAACTGACAAGGCATATGATGGTCATTCATTATGATGATGTGTCCCACCCACCGCATCTGGGCTCTGATAATCAGGGACTCAATGGTGGTGGACTCCATGCGATCCAAGACCTCCAGGCTGGAGACACGGTCTTGCCAACAAATGCCAAGGAAGGAATGGAGAGTCTGCGTGCGAAATTTCTCCAGTTGTTTGATGCGCCTTCAGTACAGAGTCCAGGACTCACATCCATATAGGAGAGAAGGGATAACCACAGCTCTGTAGATTTTCAGCTTTATGAAGATACAGATGTGTTGATTGAGCACTCTAGTACCCAGCCGCCCCAGTGTCTGGCTGGCCTCGCTGATGCTGGAGTCAATTTCTTGTCCAAAGACCCATCACTCAAAATGATGCTTCCCAAGTATTTACATTTATCAGCTGGGTGTTGTCAACAGTGATTTTTGGTTCTATGGGGTTGGACTGAAGTAAAGTACTTCAGTCTTGTTCAGGCTGATAGTCAGGCCAAAGAGCATAGCAGTATCTGAGAATTTGTGCAGCATCAACTGTAGATCACTGTCTTTGTGCGCCAGGAGCGCACAATCATCAGCGAAGAGGGTTTCTTGGATGACTGTATGGAGGCACTTCATCCGTGCGTTCAAGCAGCAAAGGTCAAAGAGAGAGCCATCCAATTGGTACCTGTTGTACACTCCCTCCTTCAGACCCTGGACAGCACATGACAACATACAAGCAAAGAATAGATTGAACAGGACTGGGGCTAGCACACAATCCTGTTTTACCCCACTGGAAATGGTAAATGTAGCTGATGTATCATCGTTGTAAAGAACCTGTCCTGTCATTCTGTCATGGAGTAGCTGAATCAACTTCATGAATTTCCTTGGGCATCCATAATATCTCAGGATGATCCAGAGAGCCTCCCTGTTTACAGTGTCAAATGCCTTTGTTAGGTCAATGAAGACAGAGTAAAGAGACTTGTTCTGCTCAATGCACTTCTCCTGGACTTGCCCCATAGCAAATATCATGTCTGCTGTACTCCATTCTGGCCAAAACCAACACTGTGCCACTCAGCAGGAATGCCATCCTGTTGCTTTATTTGAATTAATCTGCGAGATTACTTTCTTGATCTCATCAGTAGAGGGAGGCAGGTCTAGGGCATCTAAGATTGGCAGCTGAGGAATCTGTTGTAAGACATCATGATCAACTGTGGATGGCCTACTGAGTAGGTTGGAAAAGTGTTCAGCCCAGCGGTTTTTCAGTCCTTCCTGGTCTTTGATCAGGCTTGATACATCAGATGACAGCAGGGGGGAGCATCCTGATTTAGAAGGACCATAAACTGACTTAAGAACTCTCTGGCAGCATGCATTTCTGCATAGCATTCCACCTGCTCAGCTTTTCTCTGCCACCACTCGTCCTGCATTTCTCGTAGTTCTGACTATACTTTGGACTGCAGGTGCTTAAACTTGTCTTTCTTTGAAACAGATGATGGATCATTCTGCCAGTCTACATAGGCCTTTTTCTTGGCCTGGAGGGCTGCTGAAATGGTCTCATGGTTTTCATCAAACCAGTCTTGATGCACCTGGGTTTTCAGTTCGAGTACAGTT